CCTCTGTGCCTGAGTTTCTCTTCAGTCTGAACAAATTAGAACACTGGCATTACACTCATATATACAGTCATGTCTAAACAAAGTTATATGACCATGTATATGTGTACACACGTACAACAGACACTCATACAAAACACATGTATGTAAGAAAACACATGTATCAGGGTGCCATGGAAATGTAGTTCAGCCTTTCCAGACCCTAACTTACACAAAGAGCTGTGTGAACCTAGAGGGTGGAGGAATATTAAGAGATGTGCGTACACCACAGGACACGGCACACATTTACTTAAATAATTTTCTTTCTATGCTTTCCATTTTCTTTAACATTTTCTAAAGAATTGTTTTCTGGTCACCATGTCATTTAGGCCTTAGGTTAAACTTGTGACCCAAGAGGGCAGGTCGATGCGGGACTGAAGGGATGTGGGCTTCCCTATCATTTGGGTGGAGTGAGTGGGCTGCTCTGTGCGAGGGAAAAGACTGCAGTATGTGAGGTGGTAATGCATTGCTCTTGATGGTTTCATAAATGGGTGTTCAAGTGTGGGGAAGTATGTATTAGTAATGGAAATGCACAAGGGTGGATGGGGTAGAAATGGCCTCTTGCACCATGAAAATAGATGAGTGTGAAAGTGACTGAAATGGAGGTGGAAACAGAACAGGGGTGGGGGGGCTTTCGACCAAGAGATCTCTGCTGACAGGTGGCAGGGACTCTGTCCTTCTGGGGAGTAGTGACAGTGGCAGGCAGCAGGGCCTCCTTCCACAGCCTGCATCAGCAGTGCAATTCTCAGAATTGTTTCCAGAGTGGTTGCCTAGAGCTTACTTCTAAGGCTGCCCAACAACATGTGAGCCATTTAACACCCCACCATGATTCGCTTTATGCTTAGTGGACTTGACCTTCAGCCAATAACAATGCCCAGTCCACACTGAGAGCTTATCTCACTCTCCTTTTTTGTTGCTGATTGCAACGTTCTCCAGGTGGACCTGCCAGAGGAGGCACCATGAACAGTCCTCTATGTCATCAAAACTACAAGCTACATAAGCTCAGATGGAGCCACTGGGCTCTCACCAGCTTCTCTGTCTCTGGGCACTAAAGAGGAGACTGAAGAATTGGGCCTTAAATCTCTCAGCTGTTCCTGCTTCAGCCTTGGTAGGTTCTCCGCGTGCCTGTGCTAATCCCTACTCTGTGGAATGCTGAGGGAGGCCTTCTGTGGATGTCCTGGGTTCTCTCTCAGCAGAGCTCTCTCCTGGGGTTCTGTCTTCCCCTTTCGGGACTTGCAGCTCTTCCTCCTCAGCTCAGGGATACTTCCTGGCTTCTTCTGGATTTCCTTTCCTTGCACAATGTTCTGGAAACTCTCCTCAGAGTGTAAGGTGGATCCATTTAAATCTCACTTCTTCTGGTTTCATACTCTCAGGGATCACTGACTTTTATTTCTAATGTCCAATGAGTTGAAAATAATGGCTTCATATATTTTATGCCAAGTTTCAGTTAATAGAGGAAGTAGACCACGCCAGTCTACTTTGGTGACAGGTGGACATATGGAGGCATAAATCCGAGTGTAGAGATTTCTTCCCCCTTAGGGTTCTGCATCAGAACCTGATAGTGCAGGGACAACAGTCCTCATCCTGGTCTCACAATCTGGGCACTGCTGCTGTTCCTTCTTCTCTTGCTCTGTCCCCTAACATGAAAGGTCTCTTGCACACATATGCTGATGCATTAGTGTACCTTAATGCCATCCTATCTCCTGGCAATAGCCCCTAGGCCACATCTTTTAGTTAGGACAAGAACAACTGTTGTTTAGGCAAACTCGTGAGAGAGGGCCCAGGGAAGATGCCAAATTATTCCTGAGATCAGTGATTTTATACCTGTGTGCCACAGCACACTCGTGTGCCCAGGAGAGGATTTCAGGTGTGCTGTGAAAATTCTTAAAGCTCATTGAATGAATTATTTACTAAAGAAGTTTAAATCACGGTAAGTATATCCTTTTTTTTTTTTTGACTCCTTTTTGATCAACATGATTTAAGTGTGCCTTGATAGTTTAACTATAAGTTCAAGTAAGATTAAAAAAAAAAAAAAGGTTGAAAAACACTGCTCTAGATATTAGACCTAGAACATTTGAATTTGAAATTTCAGGTCCCAGCCCCTCACATTCTGATGCAGAGGAAGAAAAATTGGCTGTGTTGGTGCAATCTCTCTGCGAATGACTGGAGGACAGCAAAGTGAAGGGCCAACACTTGGGCCCCAGAGCAAGAGAGTCTATTTTAGGGTATCATGTGATTCTAGTTGAGAGCTGATTAACGAAACACTCTGATTTTCCACGTGAAATACAAGATTGGAGGCCTCAAGCCAACATGCTCTATCAGTTTTCAAAGGGTTCCTTTATCATCCAGTAGTTACTTAAGTGGCCTTGTCACACTCATAGCAAGGCTGGCGTTGTCTCCATCCTCATCCTCCCTCCTCTCTGTCTTCTCTGAAACCCAGAACAATTCACTAGATGCTGTGTTATTGCCCTTCATTTTACTTTGGAGACAGTTGATACTTGTGGGTTCTGGGATAGTCCAGAGGGTTAGGTTTATCGTAATCTGGGCTCCAA